CTTGACTGACTTGACACTCTATGGAGGGGATTTACGTGAGGAGTTCTACTCTACATGGAAAGCAAAGGCATCATCAATAAAGGTATGTGTGTACTTATGTAACATGGAGACGGTCATTGGAAGACAGAAAGAGCAGTAATTGTTATTGTAATGGTGCACATGTACATAAGTTGCATTTTCCAAACACTCTTTTTAAAGGCCATTTACTTGGTATATTGGAATAGCCATGAATAATGAAATAAAAGCAAACTACACATGTACTGATTAAGTTGCAATTTAAGTGTGTATAAGTTTGACATATTTTCGACCAAAAAACAATATCCAACTTTTTCCTAGTTTGATTGATATGAAAAATATTTCGTGGATTGATTTGAGGAGCCAATTTCAATGTAGGCTTAAACTTACCAAACTGTACCAAAGCAACAAACCTCCTGAGTTAGGGGGTCTTGTGCAGATGAAATCGAGAGTAATGAGGACCTTTAATGCATTAAGAGCAAATGCATCTTTCTGGATATTGTTAATTTCAGTGTAAGTAGGATTATGACTTATGAATGCAAACAGAATGCATTCCCTCTAAATAATACATATAGAATTTAAAACAATCATTCTTAGTTTTTAGGGCGTCTTGTGCATATAAAATCGAGAGTTATGAGAACCTTTAATGCATTAAGAGCAAATGCATATTTCTGGGTATTGTTAATTTCAGTAAAAGTAGGAATATGACTTATAAATGCAAACAGATTGCAATCCCTCTAAAGAGTACATATATAATTTAAAACAATCGTTCTGTATTATCCTGTCGCTAGACACTTTAATGTGTACTTTTTTTCTGAATAGACAAGAATTGAATTTGAAAAAGAAAAAAAAAATTCATCATTTGTTTAGAATGTTATCTTGAATGCAAATATGCAATTAATGGAATTTGTGTAAAATGTACAAATACAGTGAGAAATTAGTAAATAAGATATATCTATTCAAGACGTACTGGTTAATTATATTCGCCATTAATGCAGGTCCAGACTCTCGACCTGACTGATCACCAGTGTCCCACACCAGCCTCGTCACAACACCTATCAGAGGCACTGTGTTCCATGCCACACTTAACTGACTTGACACTCTATGGAGGGGATTTACGTGAGAAGTTTTACTCTACATGGAAAGCAAAGGCATCATCCGTAAAGGTATGTGTGTACTTATGTAACATGGAGACGGTCATTGGAAGACAGAAAGAGCAGTAATTGTTATTGTAATGGTGCACATGTACATAAGTTGCATTTTCCAAACACTCTTTTTAAAGGCCATTTACTTGGTATATTGGAATAGCCATGAATAATGAAATAAAAGCAAACTACACATGTACTGATTACGTTGCAATTTAAGTGTGTATAAGTTTGACATATTTTCGACCAAAAAACAATATCCAACTTTTTCCTAGTTTGATTGATATGAAAAATATTTCGTGGATTGATTTGAGGAGCCAATTTCAATGTAGGCTTAAACTTACCAAACTGTACCAAAGCAACAAACCTCCTGAGTTAGGGGGTCTTGTGCAGATGAAGTCGAGAGTTATGAGTACCTTTAATGCATTAAGAGCAAATGCATCTTTCTGGATATTGTTAATTTCAGTGTAAGTAGGATTATGACTTATGAATGCAAACAGAATGCAATCCCTCTAAATAATACATATAGAATTTAAAACAATCACTCTTAGTTTTTAGGGCGTCTTGTGCATATAAAATCGAGAGTTATGAGAACCTTTAATGCATTAAGAGCAAATGCATATTTCTGGGTATTGTTAATTTCAGTAAAAGTAGGAATATGACTTATAAATGCAAACAGAGTGCAATCCCTCTGAAGAGTACATATATAATTTAAAACAATCGTTCGTTATAGTCCTGTCGATAGACACTTTAATGTGTTCTTTTTCTGAATAGACAAGAATTGAATATGAAAATAAAAACTATTTCATCATTTGTTCAGAATGTTATCTTGAATGCAAGTATGTAATTAATGGAATTTGTGTAAAATGTACAAATACAGTGAGAAATTAGTAAATAAGATATATCTATTCAAGACGTACTGCTTAACTATATCCACCATGAATACAGGTCCAGACTCTCAACCTGACTAATCACCAGTGTCCCAAACCAGCCTCGTCACAACACCTATCAGAGGCACTTTGTTCTATGCCACACTTGACTTACTTGACACTCGATGGAACAAATTTACGTGAGGAGTTTTACTCTACATGGAAAGCAAAGGCATCATCCGTAAAGGTATGTGTGTACTAATGTAACTACATGGAGACGGTCATTGGTAGACAGAAAGAGCAGTAATGGTTAAATGCCATGGTGCAAATGTATACAAGTTGTATATTCCAAACACCCTTTGTTAAAGGCCGTTTACTTGGTATATTGGAATAGCCATGAATAAGGAAATGAAAGCAAAATACGCATGTACTGATTACGTTGAAATATAAGTGTGTATAACTTTGACATCTTTTTTGAACAATAAACAATATCCAACCTTTCCCTAGTTTGATTGATATGAAAAATATTTCTTGGATTGTTTTGAGGAGCCAATTTCAATGTAGGCTTGAACTTACCAAACTGTACTATAGCAACAAACCTCCTGATTTAGGGGGTCTTGTGCAGATGAAATCGAGAGTTATGAGTACCTTTAATGCATTAAGAGCAAATGCATATTTCTGGGTATTATTTATTTCAGTGTTAGTAGGAATATGACTTGTAAATGAAAACAGGTTGCAACCCTCTAAAGAATACATAAAGAATTAAAAAAAGAAATAACTCTTAGTAAATTATCCTCTTGAGGGACACTTTAATGTTCTTTTTTTTTTCTGAATAGACGAGAATTGAATTTGGAAATAAAAATCATTTCATCATTTGTTTAGAATGTTTTTTTGAAAGCAAGTATTTAATTAATGGAATTTGCGGAAATTGTAAGAATACAGTGAGAAATTAGTAAATAAAATATATCTATTCATGTCGTGCTGATTAACTATATTCACCATAAATGCAGGTCCAGACTCTCAACCTGACTAATCACCAGTGTCCCACACCCTCCTCGTCACATCACCTATCTGAGGCACTGTGTTCTATGCCACACTTGACTGACTTGACACTCGATGGAGGGGATTTACGTGAGGAGTTCTACTCTACATGGAAAGCTAACGCATCATCCGTAAAGGTATGTGTTGACTAATGTAACTGCATGGTGACGGTCATTGGAAGACAGAAAGATCAGTAATGGTTATATGCCATGGTGACCTGTATAGAAGTTGCATTTTCCAAACAATCTTTCTTTAAAGGCCATTAACTTGTTATATTGGAATAGCCATGAATAATGAAATGAAAGCAGACTACACATGTACTGATTACTTTGAAATCTAAGTGTGTATGAATTTGACATTTTTTTGACCAATAAACAATATCCAATTTTCTCCTAGTTTGGTTGACATAAAAAAAACATTTCATAGAGTGTTTTAAAGAACCACTTTTAATGTAGGCTTGAACTTACCAAACTGTACCATAGCAACAAACCTCCTGATTTAGGGCGTCTTGTGCAGATGAAATCGAGAGTTATGAGTATCTTTAATGCATTAAGAGCAAATGCATATTTCTGGGTATTATTCATTTCAGTGTTAGTAGGAATATGACTTGTAAATACAAACAGGTTGCAACCCTCTAAAGAATACATAAAGAATCAAAAGAAATAACTCTTAGTAAATTATCCTCTTGAGGGTCACTTTAATGTTCTTTTTTTTCTTCTGAATAGAACAGAATTGAATTTGGAAATAAAAATCATTTCATCATTTGTTTAGAATGTTATCTTGAAAGCAAGTATGTAAATAATGGAATTTGCGGAAATTGTAGGAATACAATGAGAAATTAGTAAATAAAATATATCTATTCATGTCGTGCTGATTAACTTTATTCACCATGAATGCAGGTCCAGACTCTCAAGCTTGATAATCACAAGTTTCGCACACCCTCGTCACATCACTTATTAGAGGCACTGTGTTCTATGCCAAACTTGACTAACTTGAGACTCGATGGAGGAGATTTACGTGAGGAGTTTTACTCTACATTGAAAGCAAAGGCATCATCCATAAAGGTATGTAGGTACTAATCTAACTGCATGGAGACGGTCATTGGTAGACAAGAAAGAGCTGTTATGGTTAAATGCCATGGTGCAAATGTATATAAGTTGTATATTCCAAACAACCTTTTTTAAAGGCCTTTTACTTGGTATATTGGAATAGCCATGAATAAGGAAATGAAAGCAAACTACGCATGTACTGATTACGTTGAAATTTAAGTGTGTATAAGTTTGATATCTTTTTCGAACAATAACCAATATCCAACCTTTCCCTAGTTTGATTGATATGAAAAATATTTCTTGGATTGTTTTGAGGAGCCAATTTCAATGTAGGCTTGAACTTACCAAACTGTACCATACCAACAAACCTCCTGATTTATGGGGTCTTATGCAGATGAAATCGAGAGTTATGAGTACCTTTAATGCATTAATAGCAGATGCATATTTCTGGGTATTGTAAATTTCAGTGTAAGTAGGAATATGACTTATAAATGCAAAAAGATTGCAATCCCTATGAAGAATACATATAGAATTTAAAACAATCGTTCTTTATTATCCTGTCGATAGACAATTTAATGTGTTCTTTTTTCTGAATAGACAAGAATTGAATTTGAAAATAAAAACTATTTCATCTTATGTTTAGAATGTTATCTTGAATGCAAGTACGTAATTATTGGAATGTGTGTAAAATGTAAGAAGACAGTGAGAAATTAGTAAATAAGATATATCTATTCAAGACATACTGGTTAACTATATTCACCATGAATGCAGGTCCAGACTCTCAAGCTGACTAATCACAAGTTTCGCACACCCTCGTCACATCACCTATTAGAGACACTGTGTTCTATGCCAAACTTGACTAACTTGACACTCGATGGAACAAATTTACGTGAGGAGTTTTACTCTACATTGAAAGCAAAGGCATCATCCGTAAAGGTATGTGTGTACTAATGTAACTACATGGAGACGGTCATTGGTAGACAGAAAGAGCAGTAATGGTTAAATGCCATGGTGCAAATGTATACAAGTTGTATATTCCAAACACCCTTTGTTAAAGGCCGTTTACTTGGTATATTGGAATAGCCATGAATAAGGAAATGAAAGCAAAATACGCATGTACTGATTACGTTGAAATTTAAGTGTGTATGACTTTGACATCTTTTTTGAACAATAAACAATATCCAACCTTTCCCTAGTTTGATTGATATGAAAAATATTTCTTGGATTGTTTTGAGGAGCCAATTTCAATGTAGGCTTGAACTTACCAAACTGTACTATAGCAACAAACCTCATGATTTAGGGGGTCTTGTGCAGATGAAATCGAGAGTTATGAGTACCTTTAATGCATTAATAGCAAATGCATATTTCTGGGTATTATTAATTTCAGTGTAAGTAAGAATATAACTTATCAATGCAAACAGATTGCGATCCCTCTAAAGAATACATATAGAATTTAAAACAATCACTCTTAGTATTTAGGGCGTCTTGTGCAGATGAAATCGAGAGTTATGATTACCTTTAATGCATTAATAGCAAATGCATATTTCTGGGTATTGTAAATTTCAGTGTAAGTAGGAATATGACTTATAAATGCAAAAAGATTGCAATCCCTATGAAGAATACATATAGAATTTAAAACAATTGTTATTTATTATCCTGTCGATAGATAATAAAATGTGTTCTTTTTTCTGAATAGACAAGAATTGAATTTGAAAACAAAAACTATTTCATCATTTGTTTAGAATGTTATTTTGAAAGCAAGTATGTAATTAATGGAATTTGCGGAAATTGTAAGAATACAGTGAGAAATTACTTAATAAAATATATATATTCATGTCGTGCTGATTAACTATATTCACCATGAATGCAGGTCCAGACTCTCAAGCTGACTAATCACAAGTTTCGCACACCCTCGTCACATCACCTATTAGAGGCACTGTGTTCTATGCCAAACTTGACTAACTTGACACTCGATGGAAGAGATTTACGTGAGGAGTTTTACTCTACATTGAAAGCAAAGGCATCATCCATAAAGGTATGTGTGTACTAATGTAACTACATGGAGACGGTCATTGGTAGACAGAAAGAGCAGTAATGGTTAAATGCCATGGTGCAAATGTATACAAGTTGTATATTCAAAACACCCTTTGTTAAAGGCCATTTACTTGGTATATTGGAATTGCCATGAATAAGGAAATGAAAGCAAAATACGCATGTACTGATTACGTTGAAATTTAAGTGTGTATAACTTTGACATCTTTTTGGAACAATAAACAATATCCAACCTTTCCCTAGTTTGATTGATAAGAAAAATATTTCTTGGATTGTTTTGAGGAGCCAATTTCAATGTAGGCTTGAACTTACCAAACTGTACCATAGCAACAAACCTCCTGATTTAGGGGGTCTTGTGCAGATAAAATCGAGAGTTATGAGTACCTTTAATGCATTAATAGCAAATGCATATTTCTGGGTATTGTAAATTTCAGTGTTAGTAGGAATATGACTTATAAATGCAAAAAGATTGCAATCCCTATGAAGAATACATATAGAATTTAAAACAATTGTTATTTATTATCCTGTCGATAGATAATACAATGTGTTCTTTTTTCTGAATAGACAAGAATTGAATTTGAAAACAAAAACTATTTCATCATTTGTTTAGAATGTTATTTTGAAAGCAAGTATGTAATTAATGGAATTTGCGGAAATTGTAAGAATACAGTGAGAAATTAGTTAATGAAATATATATATTCATGTCGTGCTGATTAACTATATTCACCATGAATGCAGGTCCAGACTCTCAAGCTGACTAATCACAAGTTTCGCACACCCTCGTCACATCACCTATTAGAGGCACTGTGTTCTATGCCAAACTTGACTAACTTGACACTCGATGGAAGAAATTTACGTGAGGAGTTTTACTCTACATTGAAAGCAAAGGCATCATCCATAAAGGTATGTGTGTACTAATGTAACTACATGGAGACGGTCATTGGTAGACAGAAACAGCAGTAATGGTTAAATGCCATGGTGCAAATGTATACAAGTTGTATATTCAAAACACCCTTTGTTAAAGGCCATTTACTTGGTATATTGGAATTGCCATGAATAAGGAAATGAAAGCAAAATACGCATGTACTGATTACGTTGAAATTTAAGTGTGTATAACTTTGACATCTTTTTGGAACAATAAACAATATCCAACCTTTCCCTAGTTTGATTGATAAGAAAAATATTTCTTGGATTGTTTTGAGGAGCCAATTTCAATGTAGGCTTGAACTTACCAAACTGTACCATAGCAACAAACCTCCTGATTTAGGGGGTCTTGTGCAGATAAAATCGAGAGTTATGAGTACCTTTAATGCATTAATAGCAAATGCATATTTCTGGGTATTGTAAATTTCAGTGTTAGTAGGAATATGACTTATAAATGCAAACAGATTGCAATCCCTCTAAAGAGTACATATAGAATTTAAAACAATCGTTATTTATTATCCTGTCGATAGACAATAAAATGTGTTCTTTTTTCTGAATAGACAAGAATTGAATTTAAAAAAACAAAAACTATTTCATCATTTGTTTAGAATGTTATTTTGAATGCAAGTATGTAATTAATGGAATTCGTGTAAAATGAAAGTAGACAGTGAGAAATTAGTAAATAAGATATATCTATTCAAGACGTAATGTTTAACTATATTCACCATGAATGCAGGTCCAGACTCTCGACCTGACTAATCACCAGTGTCGCACACCAGCCTCGTCATATCACCTATCAGAGGCACTGTGTTCTATGCCACACTTGACTGACTTGACACTCGATGGAGGGGATTTACGTGAGGAGTTCTACTCGACATGGAAAGCAAACGCACCATCCATGAAGGTATTTGCGTACTAATGTAACTGCATGGAGACGGTCATTGGTAGACAGAAAGATCAGTTATGGTTATATGCCATGGTGCACATGTATATAAGTTGCATTTTCCAAACAATCTTTTTGAAAGGCCATCAACTTGTTATATTGGAATAGCCATGAATAATGAAATGAAAGCAGACTACACATGTACTGATTACGTTGAAATTTAAGTGTGTATAAATTTGACATTTTTTTGACCAATAAACTATATCCAATTTTGTCCTAGTTTGGTTGACATAAAAAACATTTCATGGAGTATTTTAAAGAACCACTTTTTATGTAGGCTTGAACTTACCAAACGGTACCATACCAACAAACCTCCTGATTTAGGGGGTCTTATGCAGATGAAATCGAGAGTTATGAGTACCTTTAATGCATTAAGAGCAAATGCATATTTCTGGGTATTATTTATTTCAGTGTTAGTAGGAATATGACTTGTAAATGCAAACAGGTTGCAACCCTCTAAAGAATACATAAAGAATTAAAAGAAATAACTCTTAGTAAATTATCCTCTCGATAGACACTTTAATGTTCTTTTTTTTTTCTTCTGAATAGACGAGAATTGAATTTGGAAATAAAAATCATTTCATCATTTGTTTAGAATGTTATTTTGAAAGCAAGTATGTAATTAATGGAATTTGCGGAAATTGTAAGAATACAGTGAGAAATTAGTAAATAAAATATATCTATTCATGTCGTGCTGATTAACTATATTCACCATGAATGCAGGTCCAGACGCTCAAGCTGACTTATCACAAGTTTCGCACACCCTCGTCACATCACCTATTAGAGGCACTGTGTTCTATGCCAAACTTGACTAACTTGACACTCGATGGAAGAAATTTACGTGAGGAGTTTTACTCTACATTGAAAGCAAAGGCATCATCCGTAAAGGTATGTGTGTACTAATGTAACTACATGGAGACGGTCATTGGTAGACAGAAAGAGCAGTAATGGTTAAATGCCATGGTCCAAATGTATACAAGTTGTATATTCCAAACACCCTTTGTTAAAGGCCATTTACTTGGTATATTGGAATAGCCATGAATAAGGAAATGAAAGCAAAATACGCATGTACTGATTACGTTGAAATTTAAGTGTGTATAACTTTGACATCTTTTTGGAACAATAAACAATATCCAACCTTTCCCTAGTTTGATTGATATGAAAAATATTTCTTGGATTGTTTTGAGGAGCCAATTTCAATGTAGGCTTGAACTTACCAAACTGTACTATAGCAACAAACCTCCTGATTTAGGGGGTCTTGTGCAGATGAAATCGAGAGTTATGAGTACCTTTAATGCATTAATAGCAAATGCATATTTCTGGGTATTATTAATTTCAGTGTAAGTAAGAATATAACTTATCAATGCAAACAGATTGCGATCCCTCTAAAGAATACATATAGAATTTAAAACAATCACTCTTAGTATTGAGGGCGTCTTGTGCAGATGAAATCGAGAGTTATGAGTACCTTTAATGCATTAATAGCAAATGCATATTTCTGGGTATTATTAATTTCAGTGTAAGTAAGAATATAACTTATCAATGCAAACAGATTGCGATCCCTCTAAAGAATACATATAGAATTTAAAACAATCACTCTTAGTATTGAGGGCGTCTTGTGCAGATGAAATCGAGAGTTATGAGTACCTTTAATGCATTAAGAGCAAATGCATATTTCTGGGTATTATTTATTTCAGTGTAAGTAGGATTATGACTTGTAAATGCAAACAGGTTGCAACCCTCTAAAGAGTACATATAGAATTTAAAACAATCGTTCTATATTATCCTGTCGATAGACAATTTAATGTGTTCTTTTTTCTGAATAGACAAGAATTGAATTTAAAAATAAAAACTATTTCATCTTTTGTTTAGAATGTTATCTTGAATGCAAGTATGTAATTATTGGAATTTGTGTAAAATGTAAGAAGACAGTAAGAAATTAGTAAATAAGATATATCTATTCAAGACGTACTGGTTAACTATATTCACCATAAATGCAGGTCCAGACTCTCAACCTGACTAATCACCAGTGTCGCACACCAGCATCGTCACATCACCTATCAGAGGCACTGTGTTCTATGCCACACTTGACTGACTTGACACTCGATGGAGGGGATTTACGTGAGGAGTTCTACTCTACATGGAAAGCAAAGGCATCATCAATAAAGGTATGTGTGTACATATGTAACATGGAGACGGTCATTGGAAGACAGAAAGAGCAGTAATTGTTATTGTAATGGTGCACATGTACATAAGTTGCATTTTCCAAACACTCTTTTTAAAGGCCATTTACTTGGTATATTGGAATAGCCATGAATAATGAAATAAAAGCAAACTACACATGTACTGATTACGTTGCAATTTAAGTGTGTATAAGTTTGACATATTTTCGACCAAAAAACAATATCCAACCTTTTCCTAGTTTGATTGATATGAAAAATATTTCGTGGATTGTTTTGAGGAGCCAATTTCAATGTAGGCTTGAACTTACCAAACTGTACCATAGCAACAAACCTCCTGATTTAGGGGGTCTTATGCAGACGAAATCGAGAGTTAAGAATACCTTTAATGCATTAATAGCAAATACATATTTCTGGGTATTATTAATTTCACTAATAGTAGGAATATGACTTATAAATGCAAACAGATTGCAAGCCCTATACAGATCACATATAGAATTTTCGTTAAATAACTCTTTCTAAATTATCCTCTCCATAGAAACTTCAGTGTGTTTTTTTCTGAATAGACAATAATTGAATTTGAAAATGAAATCTAATTAATAATTTTTTGAGAATGTTATCTTGAATACAATTATGTAATTAATGGAATTTGTGTGAAATGTAAGAATACAGTCAGAAGTTAGAAAATAAAACATATGCATGTATAGACATGCTGCTTAACTATACTCACAAACACTGCAGATCCGGACTCTCACGCTTAATCATGTCCAGTGTCCCACACCAGCCTCATCACGTCACCTTGCAGAAGCAATCTGCTCTATGCCAAAGCTGACTAATCTGAAACTTGAAAGGGATCTCACTCAGGAGTTCTACTCTACATTGAAAGAAAAGGCATCATCCATTGAGGTATGTGTGTACTAATGTTAATGTCATGGAGAGTCATTGATAGACAGAAAGAGCAGTAATGGTTATATGGTGCACATGTATATATGTTTTTTTTCTTCCAAACACCCTTTTTAAAAGGTCATTCACTTGGTATACACTGTTGCTCATAACGGTGGAATATTTTTTTTTATCCCAATTTATGGAATTATTTTAAAAATAATTTAAAAATACTAGATCTAGATAATAGTATACAGTCTCAGATTTTATTGAATAATAATTTGCCAATATGTGTTTTGCGTGACTGCTAAAGCATGTATATTATGCTACTATGTTTATCAACTAGGGGACCTATGCCCTTAAGTCATAAATGACAGTAATGAGGATTAATGCCTCACAAAAGGGCACTAATATGGCACATCGACACGGTGTTGATCCTGGGGCCTCACAGTTACGAGGCCATTGCTTTGTCACTGAACCATGGCTGTACGCAGCGGGGGCTAGGGTAGGGGGCAGTTTCCATAAATTAAAAAAACAACAGAAAATGCAATAATTTTTCAATAATTTATTGCATTCTACCCCGGTCCCCAACATAAAAAAATCTTCTGTGTGCCCATGCCTTGAGCCATAATGCATGGCCGTCCAGAGGATTTTTTTATGTTGGGGACCGGGGTAAAATGCAATAAATTATTGAATATTTATTGCATTTTCTGTTTTTTTTTTAATTTATGGAAACTGCCCCCTACCCTAGCCCCCGCTGCGTACCGTCATGGTTCAGTGACAAAGCAATGGCCTCGTAACTGTGAGGCCCCAGGATCAACACCGTGTCGATGTGCTATATTAGTGCCCTTTTGTGAGGCATTAATCCTCATTACTGTCATTTATGACTTAAGGGCATAGGTCCCCTAGTTGATAAACATAGTAGCATAATATACATGCTTTAGCAGTCACGCAAAACACATATTGGCAAATTATTATTCAATAAAATCTGAGACTGTGTACTATTATCTAGATCTAGTATTTTTAAATTATTTTTAAAATAATTCCATAAATTGGGATAAAAAAAAATATTCCACCGTTATGAGCAACAGTGTATTTGAATAGTCGTGAAATTAAAATGAAAGCAAACGACACATGTATTAATTCAGTTGAACCTCAAGTGCTTATAAGTTGTTGACATTATTTATGTCCAATAAACAATATCTAACCTTTGCCTAGTTTGATTTATATGAGAAATTCCAGGTCACAACGTCATGGTCAAAGGTTATGTTAGGTCAGTAGACTTGGATTAGGTTTTCACAACTTAATATGAGAATTGATCAATCAATTTTTGTTATTTGTTCATATTTCATGAAAGTTATCAATCTTGGTACAAATCATAGTAAATAGTTTTTCTGATGATTCTTAGTCAATATTCACTTCAAAAAGCTGATTATTTTCAGAGGCTTTCATTTCAGGGGGCCTGCTAATGGGCCAGCCTGCCTATAAATAATGTCCCAACTTCAATATGTCATCATATCGAATTGCGTAATGCAGACGAGATCGCCAAGAGCGTTTCCCTTGTTACTTTTTATATCGGTATTTAAGATAGCCAAAGATGTATGTATGTACATATATGTGTTGTGTATATATATATATGCGTGTGTAAGTATGTGTATGTATATATGTATATATGTACATATAGTATTGCTTATTACCGTTGAGAAATCTTAACTTCGTATTTTTCTTTCTATTATTTCGTTTGCTATTTTCTGTATATGCTTTATATGTTTCCTATATTGTAGGGGGTGTATACGACTATACGTCTTGTATACCCTGCCAGTGGTTCTAGGACAACTACCCCCTGGGCAATCACCCCCCGGAAAATTACCCCCCGGAAAACTACCCCCAAAGGACAATTACCCCCTGGAATATTACCCCCCGGAGAATCACCCCCCGAGGACAACTACCCCCCAAGGACAATTACCCCCCGGAAAATTACCCCCCGGAGAATTACCCCCCGAGGACAATTACCCCCCGTAGACAACTACCCCCCGAGGACAATTACCCCCTAGGACAATTACCCCCGAGGACAATCACCCCCCGAGGACAATTACCCCCTAGGACAATTACCCCCCGAAGACAATCACCCCCCGATGACAACTACCCCCCCCCCCCCGATGACAATTACCTTCAAGGACAATTACCCCCCGAGGACAACTACCCCCCGATGATAATTACCCCCCAATGACAACTACCCCCGTGGACAATCAGGATTCAATAGCAAAAGACGATCTGACACATTGAGAGATGGCTACGAGCCCATAAGATCCCCTGCATGACCCCATATTCTTTCAAATACTATAGCACGTTGTCTTCCTCATTACTACACATTTCCCTTTTATTATAATTTATGCAACGCCAGCGCGGTTGCTAATTTCCACGAAGGATGTAAGTTTTAGGTAATTGTCCAGCGCTTTTCAAAATACATAGAAATACATTTCTCTGGAGCAGCGTTATTTTAGCTTTTTGTTAGTCACGGTACCCTCTTAAGAAATGACAAGTTTCTCCCAAATCCCAAAGTCTTTACAGACTATTAATTTTGCATGACTCTGGCTCTCGTCAAGTACTATGCACACACGTATGGGCACATTTAAGAATAAAAAGACATTTTCAAACTGGTAAAAAAATAGTTTGTAATCCACACACTAGAAACTATTTAAAGTACTGTATGCGGGCACCTTGCCGCCGAATGTTCACAAATAAAAAGTGATATATTCGGTCATGACCTTGATACACTAATATGAGAATATTCGGGCCTCTCGTTGCCCTTATTTGCCTTGCTGTCAAAATATTGTCAGCGAGCGAGGAAGGAAGACACTTTAGTATCTTCCAAATTTTATTTTCTCTCGTAATTACATATTTTAACCGTTTCTGGTATTTGATTTTTTTTTACAAAATCAACGTTTTCCAAATCATTCTCTTGCGGCACCCCGGTTGAAAAACGCTGTGCTGGAGTTACAAAATCAAATGAGATGAATTACCAGAGAGCAGATATTTATTTTCTTTTGACATGGCAATTTCTATTTCAAAATAATTTAACGTACACGAAAACATATTATACTTCAACAGAAATAAATAAATAACGTGAAGAAAACCTTAATTATGGATCACGGCATGGATGAGGGCCCATTATACATACTAAGACAAATACACGATCAGCTGATGAGAAAGTTACAGAGGGTGCATAAAAGAAATCTTACATCCTAATTTCTTTGTTGTGCCATTGATGGTGAGAGAGGCTGTAACGCGTACTCATCTGCGCGCAATGTATTGTTTAATTTCTAAGAAATGTAATTTCTGTTCTTTACTCGGTAGCAAAACTACAGGGGAATTGGGCAACCTCAACAACCCCCCCTAATTGAATTGAATAATTTGAAAAGACTGAAATGAACTTCATAAATCACAAAGAAAATGAAGGTTTATGCAATTTTCTGTAAATAGCAATTTGGAGAGAAGCTTGCGTTATACGTCACAGTCTTTAAATTCCTCGGGATTGATTGTCATTGGGGGTAGTTGTCCTTCAGGGGTTATTGTCCTCGGGGGGGGGGAGTTGTCGTCGAAGGGGGAGGGGTAGTTGTCCTCGGGGGTAGTTGTCCTCGAGGGTAATAATAATAATAATAATAATAATAACGTTTTATTTACCCAGGGTAGCCACTTCAGTTATGAAACTGCTCTTCCAGCGGGCCCTGCATAACATAACATAATTATTACTACCCTTCTCCAATCTAATATGCTGAGCGCCTAGCTAGAAGGCAGAAGGTCCCATTGTTATAAGTCTTTGGTATGACTCGGCCGGGGTTCGAACCCACGACCTTCCGTACATGAGACTGGCGCTCTAACCACTGAGCCACTAGACCCAGTAGTGTCCATGGGGGGTAATTGTCCTCGGGGGGTAGTTGTCCTCGGGGGGTAATTGTCCTCGGGGGGTAATTGTCCTCGGGGGTAGTTGTCCTCGGGGGGTAGTTGTCCTCCGGGGTAGTTGTCCTCGGGGGGTAATTGTCCCCGGGGGGTAGTTGTCCTCGGGGGGTAATTCTCCGGGGGGTTATTTTCCGGGGGGTAATTGTCCTTGGGGGGTAATTGTCCTCGGGGGGTAATTCTCCGGGGGGTAATTTTCCGGGGGGTAATCATCCTATGGGGGTAGTTTTCCGGGGGGTAATTTTCCGGGGGGTGATTGCCCAGGGGGTAATTGTCCTGATACGCCTGCCAGTGACACAATTGTATATTATATACTACACTGTGTCATGGACCTGGTTTCAAATGTTTATACTTCTCTGTTTATTACGCTTAATAAAGATGATACATATATCAATAGAATTTGTGTTAAATGTAAGAATACGATGAGAAAATATTTAATAAAATATATGCATGTATAGATGAGCTGCTTAACTATAATCACAAACTCTGCAGATCCAGACTCTCAAGCTTGATCATATCGAGTGTCCCACACCAGCCTCATCACATCACCTTGCAGAAGCAGTGTCTTCTATGCCAAACCTGACTGACCTGACACTCTATGCAGGGGATTTCAATGAGGATTTCTACTCTACATTGACAGCAAAGGCATCATCCATACAGGTATGTGTGTCCTAATTTCAATGCCATGGAGAGGGTCATTAGTAGACAGAAAGAGCAGTAATAGTTATATGGTGCACATGTACTGAGTCAGATGAAATTCAAGTGTGTTCTAGATTGAGGTTGATTTGATAACTAATCAATATCCAACCTTTTCCGAGTTTGATTGATAAGCAAAATATGTCATATAGTTTTTTTTTGAGAGCCAATTTTTCATAAATGCTTGAATTTTCCAAACTGCACCATAGCAACAAACACCCTGACATAGGATTCTTGGGCACATTAAATCCAGAGTTAGGAATACATTTAATACATTAATAGCAAATGTATATTTATGGGTACTATTACTTTCAGTGTTAGGAGTAGGACTTATCAATGCAGAAAGTTTGCAAGCCCTATAAAGAATACATATGGAATTTAAAACATTTAAAAATAACACTATTACACAAATTATCCTTTCCATAGAAAGTTTATTGTGTTCTTTTCTCAATAGAGAAGATTTGTATTGGAAAATAAAATCTATTAATCATTTTTCTCAAGAATGTTATTATGAATACAACTATGTAATTGATAAAAATTTGTGTTAGATTTAAGAAGACGATGAGAAAATATTTAATAAAATAAAGGCATGTATAGATGAGCTGCTTAACTATATATTGACAAACAATGCAGGTCCAGACTCTCCAGATTGAACGCATCCATTGTCCCACACCAGCCTCATCACATCACCTTGCAGAGGCTCTGTGTTCTATGCCAAACCTGACTAACTTGTCACTCTCTGGAGAGGATCTCACTGAGGATCTGTGCTATACTTTGAAAGCAAATGCATCATCCATACAGGTATGTGTCATAATGTAAAAGTCTTGTAGAGGGTCATTGATAGACAGACAGAGCAGTAATTGTTATATGGTGGACATGATTTTTTTTTTTAAACACACTTGTTTATAGGCCATTCACTTGGTATATTGGAACAGTCATGAAACATGGAATAAAAGCAAACTACACATGTATTGAGTCAGATGGAATTCAAGTGTGTTCTATATTTACATTGTTTTGATAAATAATCAATATCTGATCTTTTTAAAGTTCTATTGATATGAAAAATATGTCATATATTTTTTTCTGAGAGCCAATTTTAATTATGGCTTGAATTTCCCGACTTAGGATTCTTGTGCACATGAATTCTAGAGTTATGAATAACCTTTAATACATTAATAGCAGATGTATATTTATGGGTATGGTTGATTTCAGTGTTAGTAGGAGTAGTACTTATCAATGCGAACAGGTTGCAAGCCCTATAAGGAATACATATGGAATTTAAAACATACAAAAATAACACTATTACAAAATCATCTTTTCTCAATAGAGAAGAATTGAATTTGAAAATAAAATATATCAATCATTTTTCTCAAGAATATTATTATGAGGACAACTATGTAATTAATAAAATTTGTGTTAGATTTAAGAAGACGATGAGAAAATATTTAATAAAATATATGCGTGTATAGATGAGGTGCCTAACTATATTGACACACAATGCAGGTCCATAATTTCCAGCTTGCACGCATCAAGTGTCCCACACCAGCCTCATCACATCACTTTGCAGAGGCTCTGTGTTCTATGCCAAACCTGACTTACCTGACACTCTTAGGAGGGGATCTCAATGAGGAGCTCTGCTATACTTTGAAAGCAAAGGCATCATCCCTACAGGTATGCGTGTCCTAATGTAAATGCCATGGAGAGGGGTCATTGATAAACAGAAAGAGCAGTAATAGTTATATGGTGCACATGTACATATGATATTTTTTTTCTTCAAACACCCTTTTTTAAGCAATTGATATTGGAACAGTCATGAAACATGAAATAAAAGCAAACTACTCATGTCCTGACTCAGTTGAAATTCAAGTATGTTTAAGAATGACATTGTTTTGATCATTAATCAATATCCAACCTTTTCCAAGTTTGATTGATATGAAAAATATGTCACATAGTTGTTTTTTGAGAGCCAATTTTAAATAAAGGCTTGAATTTCCAAACTGCACCATAGCAACAAACCTCCTGAATTAGGGTTCTTGAGCACATGAAATCCAGAGTTATGATTATACATTTAATACATTAATAGCAAATGTCTTTTTATGGGTATTATTAATTTCAGTGTTAGTAGTAGTAGCACTTATCACTACAAACAGGTTGCAAGCAGAATGAAGAATACATATGGAATTTAAAACATTAAAAAATAACACTATTACGGAAAATCATCCTTTCCGTGGAAACATTAGTGTGTTCTTTTTCTCAACATAGAAGAATTAAATTGAGATTGTTATTAAAAATACAACTATGTAATTAATAAATGTTATGTAAAATTTAAGAAGACGATGAGAAATGATTTTAAAAGATATATGCATGTATAGATCAGCTGCTTAACTATATTGACAAACAATGCAGGTCCAGTCTCTCGAGCTTGACGGTCTCCTGTGTCCCACACCAGCCTCATCACAACACCTTGCAGAGGCAATGTGTTCTATGCCAAACCTAACTGAACTGGAACTCTATGGAGGGGATCTCACTGAGGATTTCAACTCTACTTTGAAAGCAATGGCATCATCCATACAGGTATGTGTGTCCTAATGTAAATGTCATGGAGAGGGTCATTGATAGACAGAAAGAGCAGTAATGGTTATATGCATGGTGCACATGTACATATGATTTGTTTTCCCCTTCCAAACACCCTTTTTAAAAGGCCATTCACTTAAATAATTGATATTGGAACAGTCATGAAACATGGAAAAAGCTAACTACTCATGTTCTGATTCAGTTGAAATTCAAGTATGTTTAAGAATGACATTATTTTGAGCATTAATCAATATTCAACCTATTCAAAGTTTGATTGATATGAAAAATATGTCACATAGTTGTTTTTTGAGAGCCAATTTTTAATAAAGGCATGAATTTCCAAACTGCACCATAGCGACAAACCTCCTGACTTAGGATTCTTGTGCACATGAAATATAGAGTTATGTTTACCTTTAATACTGAAACTAGTATTGTAATGATTTTATTTTAATAAGACCACAAGATCAAATCGGAATTTAAGTCTCTTGCAAAATCACATTGAGTCATTTTGTCCAGACTGTTCATAGTGTCAATGAGGATATCTTCTCTACAATGAAAGCAAAACTAGCATCTATACACGTATGTGTGGACTTATACATATGTCATGGAAATGTCATTGAAAGAAATAAAGAGCAGTATTGATTAACACATGGTGCACATGTATATATGTTAATTTGGGGTCTGCTCACTATTCATAAGGACCATTATTCATAAGGACCGCTGTTCATTACGTGCAACTTCCCATACCTGAAGGACCGCTATTCCTAATAGGAGAAGAGGGTCACTATTCATAAGGACCGTTATTCATAATGTGAGATGAGGGTCACTATTCATAATTCACATTGAGGGTCATTGCTCATAAGGACCGCTATTATATATAATGGTTTATTTATTCAAAAAATCACATTGCAGCCCAAAGGCTGAATTGCACGATTTTTTTTACAAATCTTTGACATAAACACAGATTATAATAAACATTGTAAAAAGCATTACACAAAATAATAACTGCATACAAAATTAGTAACGCAATAATATTTAACTAATATTCTTTTACATTTTAAAACAAAATAGCTAGGATTATCAGATGGTATAAAGGCACATAGATTAATAGATGATCAGATTGAGAGAGGGAGAGAGATAATCAAGAAGGGAGAGAAAAAGGTGGGAGTCAGAGAGGAAGAACTAGTGTTGGAAGAAAAAATACCATAAGGTAAAAACTAAGAATCAGGAGTAACGAAAGCCGGAAATAGGCTCTAGGTATGTGTTTTAGAATGCTTCGTCGTCAGATGAGAGAGCAAACCAGGTACAACGAATACATGATATATTGATATGTGAATATTGTTAAATTAAAATACAATTCATCATTTAAAAAGGTTGTATGCTTAAAATAATACTTAAAAGTGAAATTAGATAAATTATACTTGTACACTATACAGAGTCCACAAAAAGATACAACTAGGCTATTATTTACATTTAAAACATCAAATATATATATATGTATAATGTAGGATGCGAGGAATTAGGCAATACAACAGCAAAGGCAGATGTGTATATCATAATATGTATATGAAGTGGGAGAGCGAGAGAGAGAGAGGGGGAGGAATAAGATAGAAAAGGTAGTATGTGAGAGAAGGAATAACAGAAGGAGAGAAAGAGTAATATAGTAAAAGAGAGAAATTGGAAGTAGGTGAAAGAACAAGTCAAGATTCATCAATATCCAAATCTAAGCTATGTGTAAATCGAACATCATCCCATACATCGATAACAATGTTCACCAATATCCACAATCTTGAAAATATCAATGAATTTTAACAAAACAAATTCATCAAAGGCAATCATATTATTATTAGACTTTTCATGAGGTATTGTTTAGTATGTCAATCAAGAAAGGGATGGGGCTTTTTCTGTACATTTCTGTCCTACAGCGCATTTGTTGGTAGTGGGTTTTATTTCTAAGTGATCGGGAACCTTCATGTTGTCTCCTAAGGGGTAACCATCTATTGAAGTGGCTAGATTTCGTGAGGGCCTGGGCAAATTTCTTACAAAGATGATCCCTTCTAACTTCGAGTTTCTCAAGACGTGTGTGGTCCAGCGCTTCATCGTAAGATGAATAAGCTGAACCCATGATCAAACGAAGGGCACGTTTTTGCACTCTCTCAATTTGACTAGTTTGGAAAAAGGTAAGGCCTGGGTGCCAAACGGGGGAAGCATACTCGACAAGGGGGCGAATGAAACCTGTATAAATGGTCAACAAATCACAGACTTTTTAATATAATTCATAATACAAAATCGGGGTCGCTATTCATAATACAAAATGAGAGTCGCTATTCATATTTCGAAATGAGGGTCACTACTCTTAATAGGAGAAGAGGGTCGCTATTCATAATACGAAATGAGGACCGCTATTCATAATACAAAATGAAGGTCGCTATTCATAATAAGAGTAGAGGGTTGCTATTCATAATACGGAATGAGGGTCGCTTTGCATAAAAATAAAATAGGCCTAAGCAAAAAACAAAATGCTAATAACAAAGGGATATATCGGATGGAGGACACCCCCACGGCTGTGGTGTCGCTGTGGGGGGGGGGGGCGACACTTGTCCTTGAATATTTGTCTTTTTTAAAAGTATATTATCTTTGATAATTATCTAAAGACATCACCCGCACCTGTGGTGACGAAGAACAAAGAGTAAAACATAACACACATATAATCCTATCGTAATTTGTCCTTGTGTGAAATCTTGCCCCACCACCCTGCCGCCTACTGATCTTATCCAGGCTACGCTACTGAGACTTTAAGAAGACCAAGCAGGCCAATTATTTAAGAACTGAGTTTGCTATTTCAGAAACTAGTAATTGTTTATACAACAATAATGTTTTGTATAGAAAGTAGCTTTTAGTAGGACTTATGGACCTACAAATTATATAACGGGGTTGGACCGGACCATGAGCTTAGTTACTGCCCGGAGAGGGGGGGTGGGGCACTTTAAAATTGTGTTTTGTTTAGGGGGATAGGGGCCTTAAACACTGTGGGACCTTGAAGGTTTTCGCGTCATGTAGCGTACAAAGAGGTTAATGCAATCCGTATATGAACCAAACATTTATTGTCTTTTTTTGTTGGAGGTGAAGGTGGTGGTGGTGGTGGTGATGGGTAAGCAGGTTTGATAAGGTCTATATAGTGCAACAAAATAAAAGTAAAAAATGCCTTGAATTTTTTTTTTTTAATTTTTATTTTGGGGTGGGATATCTAGCCCTAGTAGCAACAAGCGGGCAGGCTATAATGATAATTACAGAACAAACACAGGAAAAATATGGAATGTAAATATAAATATGCATGCAGGTTCAGAAGAAGTTAATTAATTTGAGACATGATAAATTCAAAGCAAACACAGAAAATACACGTCATAGTCATTCAAGTCCATGTATACATGCTTAAAGGGATCCGGTAACTTTGTCTCAGATTCTGAAAAAAAATTCTGGATTTAGCTCATGATGCAATGATAATTATAAACCTTTAGGTCAGTCAGGAACCCCATGACTTTTACAAGCCGATCGCCTGTCTGATTATCAAGATATTTATGATTGGAATGGCAAATTTTGAAAACCGTTCGCTTGACGGTTTTCATAACACTACAGTCTATTGGGGAAAACGAGTATGGTAAAACCGGTCACTCAAATATTTTTACTTTTTTGAGGCACTTCTTGATCATTTTGAAGCGCAATTTTTTTAGGGCTTCAGTATTACACCATATCACAGACACTGATAACACGTAGGGCCGTGTATCTCAGATTTAACATTGTTACACGATCCCTTTAAAGGTTCACACACGAAATATAAAGAATAAATAGCCAAACCAAAATTCAAAAAAATACAATAAAGGGAACAAAACAAATGAGGAGTAAGGCTGACATGAGTTGTCATGAAACAAGATAGATAATTACAGTGCAATTATTCTTGATACTGCACAGCAACCAATGGTTAAATTCTATAAATTTAGTATCAAAGATGCACAAGACTCTAGGCTATTAAGTCAGGACAGATCTTGGAAGTAAATTACTCTAAAATACATTACTTACAGGAAAGGAGGCAGCTTCCACCCACTAAAGCCCTTTTAGGGTTGAATCGTAAAAGAAATGGTTCTCTGTTCTCTGTTCTCTGTTGTTGTTCTCTGATCCCCTTACAGTATGAGAAAAAATAAAAAGATTTGTCTAACAGGTATAATTTTTTTTCTTACTTGAAGTCAATAATTCAATTCAATTACTACTGCCATAGTGGATACTACTACTACAGTAAAACTACCACTATTATTAATATTACAGTTTTCATGAAATTGCAATATGTATTCAACTATTGGATCATTTTCTTTTTGAGATTGTTGTAATTCTCTTGTGGGATGTAACTAAAGCTCTTGAGTGTATATTCCCAAAGAAATAGATTATATGCCAGAATGAAATAAATCCACTTGCTTGTAACTGATACAAGGTTTACAAGCAATGTTGCTGTTATATGTTACAGGGTTGTTTTCCTCAGATCAGGAAAGGAAACTTCACGTTCAATGAACAAGCTCAAGATGACTTGGACTCATTTCTTCAGACCCTCACATGTTCGGAAAGGTCAGTACAGTTAATGTGATTTTTTTTTTAACTACAAAAAACATATGAACTAGACTTTAATTCGTCACTTAGACGAATTAGGTGATACGTATGATAATGGTTTACATAACAAATAATGCATTACACGATATATTATGTTATGAAATGCTTCTCCCATTTATATACTTCTCCCATTATGATCTATCCATATATCAAGATTAAATTGTGTCTCCTTGATCATCATGGATCTAGGGAAGATAGATTGAAACAATATATGACCTTTGACCCTGTGCAGTAACCAGTTACACATTTGACTCTAATTTACATCATGAAGAACACCTTTTGACGATTTTATCTTATTCAAAGAAATGAAAATGTAATTGATAAATGATAATGAAGATGATCATGATCATGAGCGTGATCCTGATATCTTATTGAAAAAATGAGGGGTGATTTAGATAGCATATAGTCTCAGCTACAACATCCTTAAATATCAACAAAATCCAAGCAGGAATAACGGCGATATTGCTCGCAAAAGACAGAAATGTAGAATCCAGATTTGAGGAAAAGTCATCTCCCATAGGGATTAGACACAAAAAGTAATCGTTTAAGTGAAAATAGGGTAATAATAAAGCAAATAGTTTATTCGCAGATGTACGTGTTTTAATAATCAAAGGAGATGGTACAGTGAAAGGTCAAAAAGAAAAAAAAAAGTAAAGGAAAAAAAGTGGTTGGAGACGCCCAGACTCGAACCAGGGATCTCGAGGATAGAATTCAAGTGCGTTAACGATATACCAAAACAATTCTCGCTACCCTAAATAGGTACGAAAATCTCGAAATTCGCGAGACGAGGTAATTTTCACTCTCTCGGGTCGTCACTACAACTTCCGGTATAGAGTCCCATCCCAAGTCACGGCCTTCATCCACCCCCATTTTTCAGGGTTCTTACGCTTGGAATCATGAGCCCAGCACTGTGCAGCCTCACAAAAGAAAACCATCGTCACTGATGTTAAAAGACGCAAAAAACAACGAACGAAATGTTCAAATAAACGTTGAAATATTTGCGAAAAAAAAAAACAAGACCGAGCAGACGACATATTCGGTGCATACACGTTGTGTGGCGACGGCGTTTTACGTTTGCGCTATCGCGCCTAGTAATATAGTGCCTGCACAGGAAGCTGTAATGTCGAAAAGCTATCCCATAATGCAATGCGCGTTTTCAGGATTTTCCCCGGATCTCGGCAGAATCGCTATTTGGGGTAGCGAGAATTCACATAGCGATTACACGTAAACGGAAAATGGGATTCTCAAATCCCACTTTGCAAGTGCAATATGAGCATGATCCCGGCATCTGATCAAAAAATAAAAGACACATTTGAGATAGCTTATTGTCTCCGCTACAACATACTCGAAGCTCAGCGTAAACAAAGATAAAACAACAGAGATATTGCTCGCGAAAGAGGGAAATGTGGAATCCAGTTTTGAGAAATAGTCATGTCCCATAGACAATACACGCAAAATGTGAAAAACTGACATGCCTCCTTTAATCGCAAAAATACGCCATGATACCTTTGTCAAACTGGAAAGGTGTGGTCACTGCATTTGTAGAAAATTATCTCAGCTAGAAAATATCGAAATTAAAGAGAAAAACAATCTATATTTACAGAAATACAATCAATTTCCCAAAAATATGCAAACGTCATAATATGCAAATTTAAATTTTGAGTTTGGAGGCCATTATGATGACATTATGACTTAATTGAGGGTCAAATGAGACATGAAATCATATCTCCATTTCATAATCTATCCAAATATGAAAAAATATTAGGAGTTTCTATCTATTCTAAAGAGTTAAAATGAAATTTATATAGGCATGTTTTTGCCCATGTATTGTGGATAAAGATAACGCAAATCCGCGCGTGCTGTCAACTTTGACGGACGCTCATTGCGTTAATAAAATGTGAACAAATTATCAATATGCTTGGAAAAATGTGCCACATATGATGACAGAGAAAATTCGGCGATTCTACGTTGCAAAATGCCAGTACGCGCGGAAACGCGCACGCATGCGCGTTTGCGCGATTTTTTTGCGAAATGCTTTAAATGGCCTGAAACGTATGCAAAAAAAATTTGGGATGATTCGGAGCATTTTAAATTTTTGCGCGCGCGTAAACGCGCGGACGAACGCGCACGCGCTCATTTGCGCACTTTTATTGACCTCAACTTGACCGGACGGATATTGATCTTAATCATGATAATTATGAATAGGAAATAACTTTCCGTTACGAAGATATGATCATAAGTTGATTTTCACAAAATGGCGCATGGATGACGTCACGATCAATTTGACTCTCTAAAAAGTCACGCAGTTCTAAGTTAGACTAAGATCTATCATCATGGCAAGTTTCATGATAATGGCATTATTCAGTCTTGAGATATCCTGCGAACAAATTCGAGGAAGAATAATAATAAATAAATAAATAATAAAAATCTTGACGAAATCAAAAGGTGATACGTCTACGTACGTATCACCTAAATATGCAAATTTTGTACCATTAATCTACCAGTCACCATTGGCATATATACCATTCACCATTCTCCAATGGTAGGTCAATGGTGTTCGGTGAGTGGTGTGCCAATGGTACACGAATGGTGGACAGTGAACGGTATACCAATGGTGGGTGGTAAATGATTTGTCAATGGTAGGCCAATGGTGGGTGGTGAATGGTATGTGAATGATAGATTAATGGTACAAAATTTGCATTTTTCATATTCAAATTTCAATGGTGTAAATGGTACCATTCATCTACCATTGATGATTATGCAAATGAGCGTCAACAAATTATTATTAGGTTGAATTGTATTTCACTGGTAGATGAATGGTGCCCAATGGTATTTTGTGAGCGTAATCTCAATAGTATCCGAATGGTATGTAAATGGTGTTTGTGAATGGTATCCGTATGGTATTTTCAGTGGTACTTCCGAATGGTATACCATTGATATACCATTGAACATTTTTTTTTTGTAAGGGTCATAAAAAGCACTAAATCGTTGAAAGTGAGCCCTTAACAAATAACAAGAATATACATAACATATTATACATTGTAAGAAAAATATCAAAAAATTAACAAAAAGATAACAAAAACATCAAAATTTAATTTAAAAAACAACATAAGGAAGAAAAGAAAGGAAACTTCAACAAAATATTATCATTTATGAGTTCAGTAGGTGTTGTTTAACTTATCGTTTGAACTGTTTTACAGTCTTTCTATTTTTTAGATGAGTTGGGAGGTTATTCCAAATAATTGGACCCTTGTAAACAACAACAAAAATCAAATTCTGAGTAGTTGATATTCGGTTTAAAGGGAGCAGAAAGGGAGGTGGATATTTTGAGCATTTCTAGTATTGTAATTATGAATGGAACAATTCAAAGTAAAATAATCATACATCTTAGGAAGAATTCTATTAGACAGATGAAACATGAAAATTGTAGTATTTAAGGTTAATAAATCATTGATATGTAGGATTTGCATTTGTTTATATAATGGTAGAGTGTGAGATAGATAATAAAAAAAGGGTGAATCCCATGTTTCTGTAATTTATAAATTCGTTCAATATTTCTTTTAGAAGTGAAACCCCAAACAATAATACAATAATTAAAATGGGAAGAAATGAGGGCTTGATATCACATTTTCAAAACAGTGTGAAGTAAGAAATTCAATCTGAATCAAACACCATTTTGTAGATAAAGTGTTACAAAGATGATTTATATGGTGGTTCCAAGATAGTTTTTCATCCACAATTACTCCTAAAAATGTTGTACTTGACACCCAAGTTATCTTTTTATTTGAATAGAACAAAATTTAAATCCATTGGAATTTTGGTTTTAGTACCAAACATAATATAATTAGTTTTATTAGTATTTAATATTAACTCATTGGATTCCATTCACATACTTAAATTTATTAATTGAGTATTTACGAAATGATCACGACCTTTACAAAATACACTGGTATCGTCTGCAAATAAAATCAACGCAAATTATGGGTTGAACATGGCATGTCAATAATATAAATCTAAAACAAAAGGGGGCTGAGAATAGATCCTTAGGATTTTCGCAACCTATTGTTTTAACTTGGCATTCAGCTTCATTAATAATTTTTAATTGTTTACAATCAGATAATTAACTTGATAAAATTTCTAAAGGTGTGCCCCTAATACTGTAATATTTCAATTTTTGTAATAAAATAGAATGATTTATAAGCTGCTTTAATTAACAATAACAGGCGCGCTGTTCAACTCTTCATGTAAGCAAATGTATAAAAAATGTACATCACAGAGTTATATGAGTGGGACCACAGGCACAAAACAGCAGTTACTCACGGTAAAGAGACACATATCAGATCTGAAATTACTTCAAATTGAAGAAAAAACTAAAGATCCTTCATTGTTCCTGAGGACTAAGGTATTATTCCTTGCAGTTTGTCAGCTTTAAAACGTTGATCATGAAGAAAAATTCGCGAAAAATAAAGCGAAATCACAGAGCAAATATATAAGGGACACCTAGTTTTCTAAAAGTCACTACCAGTGAAACACCATTCACCATACAGACTCTACCATTGAAACACCATTCACCATACAAACTCCACCATTGAAACACCATTGACCATACAATTCCACCATTGAAACACCATTCGCCATACAATTCCACCATTGAAACACCATTCATCATACAGACTGTACCATTGAAACACCATTCCCAATACAGAATCCACCATACAATTCCACTATTGAAACACCATTCGCCATACAATTCCACCATTGAAACATCATTCACTATACAGACTCTACCATTGAAACACCATTCACCATCACCACCATTGAAACACCATTCACCATACAGACTCTACCATTGAAACACCATTCCCAATACAGAATCCACCATACAATTCCACTATTGAAACACCATTCGCCATACAATTCCACCATTGAAACATCATTCACTATACAGACTCTACCATTGAAACACCATTCACCATCACCACCATTGAAACACCATTCACCATACAGACTCTACCATTGAAACACCATTCATCATACACACTCCACCATTGTATCACCATTGGCCATACAATTCCACCATTGAAACACCATTCACCATACAATTCCATTGAAACACCATTCACCATACAGACTCTACCATTGAAACACCATTCATCATACAAACTCCACCATTGAAACACCATTGACCATACAATTCCACCATTGAAACACCATTCGCCATACAATTCCACCATTGAAACATCATTCATCATACAGACTGTACCATTGAAACACCATTCCCAATACAGAATCCACCATACAATTCCACTATTGAAACACCATTCGCCATACAATTCCACCATTGAAACATCATTCACTATACAGACTCTACCATTGAAACACCATTCACCATCACCACCATTGAAACACCATTCACCATACAGAATCCACCATTGGCACACCATTGAAATACCATTTACCATTGACGCTACCATTTAAACACCATTCATTTACCATCATGTTTTTTGTAAGAGCTCTACCAAAAGATGACGTGGAAGATCCTTCATTTGGGGGCCGTCTCGATGGGAACGCTCAACTTGTGGGTTTCCATACCAAAGTATCTCTTGAGAATATCTTCATAATGAAAACTTTTGGCCCTAAACGCTCATAAGGTCCGTGTGTGAGTGTGCAATGGAACAGACCTAAAAATTAGCATACCACACAGGCCATGTGGCCACATACCGGGTGACCTTTGTAACAATTCTGCTTATTATATGAAAACTTTGAAGAAAAAATGATCACTGGATATCTAACCAATCACCATGGATCTTATATGAGTGGACAGGGAATTTCATCTTTTTTCCAAAACCGTTCACCCCTCTGCGACATGACATCGACTTATCCTGTCACGTCCGGATAAACAATGCGGGGTAGGAAATTTAGGGTCAAATTTCTGTTCTCTCCATAGACAATTGCAATTGAATGCCCAAGTTTGAAAGAAAAATGATCACTGGTTTTGTGACTTTACTTAGTAAAACATACATGATCATGAAGCTAAAATAATGAACTTTGAGAATCTGTTCACCTCTTTTGCGGCGATTACCCGTTCTACAGATACATCAGTTTTAGTGGGAAAAAACGTGCTAAAAACATGATGATTTAGGTGTTAAAGCCTCTGTGGGCGTTTCCAGGCGAACATATGCGCTAATTTTCATTATGTTGCGACATCCATAGCATTCTCATTGGGGTAATTAGGTACTCCGACAATTCTAAAGTTGTTTCTCCACGAAAAACGTTCCAGTTTATTTTCAGCTAGCTCTGCTGTCTGCGGACGGAATTCATGGGTCAAAATGCGGGCTTCTAAGTCATTTGCCTTCTTCTCAAGTGGGGTAACCTTTTTCTCTAACTCTGTAGTACGAGCATCTTGGAAGGCTAGAGATAATAATTCCTCAAAATTAGAAAGCATTGACCGAATGTCAGATATTACTTTCCGAACAAATACTTCAAAGTCTGAAGGGGCGGGATTGGTTTGAGTGTCGGAAGATGCGAGCTGATGGGTATCTATCCCGTCAGTCCCACGTAGCTAAGCGTGCGAATAAGGGAGGGGGTGAACGGTCTAGGGACCATCGTAAAAAATACTATTTTATTAAATTCCCAACTGTAAAGTATTTTAAACCTTTAATATATTGAAGATTTTTTGTGTTCTCTGGGGTTTTTTTTTGGTTTTGGTTTTTCTTGATATTTTTGTTAAACTGTAGGCTAGTCTCTTCTATTGATTTTCTTCTTCATTCACAGATCAAAATTTTTCTTGAGAAAGGTACTTTCAATAATACCAATAGTAGTTGATATTTTATTTCTCATCTTTTATATCAATGTCCTTTACAGCTTTGATGAATCGGACGGCTCAAATGACTCGTATGTCTCGGCCAACTCAGGCAACTCAAATGACTCGGACAACTCGGCTGACTTGGACAACTCACATGACTTGTATGTCTTGGCCAGCTCGGGCAACTCAAATGACTCGGATTGTTCGGCTGACTCGGGCAAGTCACATGACTTCCAGTTCTGCTCTGTTGTGTAACCCTCCAGTCTCTTGATATCATTAACCTTCCATGTCTAGAAATTTACAAGCAGTACTGGTAGAGATCAAGACTTTGATGTTGGCAATACATCAGATATTCTATGTCAATTCTCTCAGACATACAGAGAAGGTAGCAACAGTCAGACCACGCCTACAAGAAGCAAGCTCCTTCTACTCAGTCAAGAGTTCCACAGGATGATCCTAAAATTCCAGAGAAGCGATCAAAGTATGAAGTCTAGTTGCTATCCCTTAACCTCCAAAAAAACAAATATATGTTATTTAGTAATTCTATTGACACACTGCCCAAGAATATCATTTTTGACGATACCCCCTTGGAAGTTGTTTCATTCATTATATTTTTAGGCATAACTGTTGATAACAAACTTTCGTGGAAATACCATGTAGATAATACATGTAAGATCATTTCACGGAATATTGGCAAACTCTATTAAATAGACGTCTCTCCATATTATTTACCATTCTGCTCCACTCTCACATGCACACAGACCTGTTATTTGTTAATGGCAGACTATTAAAAACAAATGACCTGTATCTACTTCTCTTAGGACAATTTATGTACAAGTATTCAAAAAAGACCCTTCCACATATATTTGATGCCATGTTCCCCCTAAATCGGTCATTTCATGATTACCCAACTAAACGGTCAAACGAGTTTCACCTACCACTCTTTAGAACTTTATTAGCGAAGAAGTCTTTTATGTATGATGGTCCTAGATTTTGGAATTCTCTAAGTGAAAGTATTAAAAATAGTCCATCCCTAAATTCTTTGAAGAAAAATCTAAAAACATTTTTGCTCAAATCTTATAGTAATATACAAGAATAATCTGATAACGGTTGGTAATCATCTTAATTTTTCATTTGGGTCTTCATCATCTGCTTGATTAATTTAATATTTATTTGGTCTTATGATCTTCCCTTCCCAAAATTAACATTTAAACTTACTTTTTTCCGGTCATGATTTGTCCTGCTTCTTCTTCCCTCCCCCTTTTACTTCTCCTTGTTCGTTTCGTGTTTGTAAATTGTATGTTGTTTTGAAATATTGTCTTGTGTTTTCTAAGTCTTCGTAGGCAAAATTTGAAACATTTATATTTTTTTTTCTGGGGGATCCACAAACTACAAGCACTGCTTTTCAGTGGATCCCCCCATTTCCTCAGAAATTAAGAAATTCTTGTAATAACTTTATTATGTGCAAAGTTTATTTGAATAGTTTGTTGAAAAAATGAATTATGTATGAAATCAAATGTAATATCTTTGTTTACCTTTCTGTTGGAAATGAAATTAATATGAATATGAATATGAATATGGTATCGGTAGAGAAGACAGTGTCACAGTGGTAACACTTCATCTTGCCTTTGTGTATGCATGCTACAGGGCTTCACACTAACTTTTTTTCTGGAAAGAGGTTCAGATTTAATTTTTTACAGTCTGTATGCATGAGCCCTAAGAAAAAAATTCCAAATTTGGGAAGGGGACCAGACCTAGATTTTGGGTGTCCATGTGTTTCGGGTGCCTGGTGGTTTGGACTGCGATAGCAAGAAATTTGAGGTAAATTCGGCGATGTTTGCAAAGGTTTGAATATTTGTAAAAAGATTTGTTTTTCTTCTTTTTCACTGCAATGAATTCAGTCCACTGCAGTCCGCTATCTGGTATTATTTTATACATTTTACGAGAATGAGAACATAATATTGTCACAATGTTCGAAAACATGTGAAAAACCTATGTAGAATAAGCCAAAAACAGAGCAGTATCAAGAGTCCATTGTGTACCTGTTTTATGCAGAAAGAGGTCATGTTATGTGGAAAATGTTTTTAAAAATACTCAATAGGAGATCATTTTTTACTCTGCTATGATCTTGCATTATGCCTGTGTATAAAAGGTGACAACACCAGGGACTAGTAATTATAATGATAAAAATGGTGGCTTCTGATATAGTGCAACCCGGTAGTGCACACGCCCGCCATGCCGTGCCACTCCTGGCGCTTAAATATTATTACCCTGGTTCTAGGCGGCGGCCAAATATGTAGCGCTTTTGCATATGGGGTGCCCATTTAAATCTGGATAGAGAGAGGCAAATGTGGATTATTGCCTTGTCAAGGATGTGAGTGTATTAGACAATTTATGTAGTGATGTACCAAGTATATGTGTTTTGTTGACTTTTACCATTTTGTTTTAGATGATTTGCATGCAATATATGAAATACCACTTAAAGGTAAAGACCAGTATTGGAAACGCCCCAATTTCAAAAAATGAAATGGAAGCTCTTATTACCAATCATGTGAAAGAATATGTTTTGACTAATACATGATGATAACAATTTTGCCAGGAAACCGCCTACTAATTGATATATTTGGTAAATTAGTTTATATATTGGACTGTGAGAGATAAACGCATGTGTCGCGCACGTGTGCGTAGTCCCATTTACATCTTTCTGTGTACAGTGCTTGTAACTTTACGAAGACTGGGCCAAATTTCTTATCATTTTGATGATTCCAGAACCTTGCAGTACAAACCAATACTAATATGCTAGATGATCAACCTTTTCTGATCGATTCCACGTTCCTTTCACAATGCAATCGCATGACCATAACTGGTCTTTATCTTTAACTTTCACAAAGTGAGTTATAAGGATATATACATAATATTTTTAATTATCTTATCAAAATATCACTGTATATGTTAAGTAGAATTTAAATTAACTTGTGACTTTGCAACCAGAAATGGCCCAGATATTAAGAGCCATATTGCTCTAGTTATCTTATCAATGAACGTTATAGAACTCAATATGATAGTTGAGAACTAGCTTTGCCTGGTAAGGGTGTATGTCATAGGCCTGAGTTATCAGTGTAATATTTTGTTGGACATGTATAATTGTTTGTAAATTTAGAGCTACATTCATTTCTAGATTTTAAGATCCATGTGAGGAAATATTTTCCAGGATTTTCTTTACAACAATCAGTCCAGTGTACATGTAAATATGTTGCTATAATTGTGAGATACATGTCTCTTTTGTCAATGTAACATGCCTGAGTCATCAGTGTAATATTTATTTTTAAATTGATTATTGTTTGTACATGTTTAACTACATTCACCAGTACTATATAATATATCCAGTTGAGGAAACATTTCCTAGGTTTTTTTGTTACATCATTCCAGTGTTCATGTAAATATGCTGCCATAATTATGCGATACATGTTTATTCTAGTTGTATTCAGTATTGGATTTCAATAATTTGTATGATAAACATTCCAGGTTTTTATTTGCATCATTATGATTATGATTATGCAATGGTTATTTTGAACTTGTATATGTTTGCCATACTTGCCTTGTAAATATGTTATATATTTTAGTAAGTTAGCATTGTTGATTGGCTTATAAGATACAAACAAATACGTGTAAAGTACTCTTATGAGCATTCCGTTACATTGCCTTTTGATCACCATCCTCTTCTGATTAAGTGATGTCATTTTTATAATCAACTCTGAATGTCATAATAGACAATGCGAATCGTTCAGATCTGTGAGTTTATTCTGAAATATGTCATGCAAAAGGATGTATAGTCAAATCTGCCTTAGTGACCACCTGTATAGAAAAACCACCTGTCTACAAAGACCACATTTGTTGTTTCCCTTGAAAAATTTCTCATTTAAACATGTAATAAAGGAACCTGGACATAAAGACCACCTGCCATTAAAGACCAATTTCTTGTCTCCCTTGGGTGGTCTTTATAGACAGGTTTCACTGTACTATAAACCAGGTCTTTCTATGTATATTTGGATGATCATTAATTACTGAAATGAAGTTTGCAGTGCCTTATGCTATGGTCACAAATCTGAGCAGCGACCGACCGATCAGTAGCCTGCTCGGTCGCTGCTGGAATTTAGGCATCGCCCAGCAATTAGGTCGGTGCCGGCCGGCGACCGCCCAGGCACCGAGCGTATTTTGGGCGGCGAGTGAAAAGTGAGCAGGCGCCGCCCAAATTTTAACTCCGCGCTAAAACTTCAGCGGCGACCGAGCGATGCCCTAAAAACGAGCGATGCCTGGGCGGCCGCCGCTCGGTGGCCGAGCAGCCGCCGGGCAGAATTGGTTAAAAACTCGCCGCTCGGCCGCCGAGCAGGCAACTTTTGGGTAATGTGACCATAGCATTAGATATTTCAACACTTTGATTTACAAAGGAGACAAAATAATGTGCTAGTTGTAGTTTGATGATAGTGTATTTGTTAGCGAGTATCCTTTTATCCCTTTAGCTTTATGTGACACTCAATATTCGATTATATTTGCGCAACTGTGCAAGTCATAATGTTTGTCCTACCTAGCAGCAACTAATGTATGCAATTTGAATTCCGACTATTGAGATACATTTATTCTTAACAGGAGGATGCATACATTATTTTGGTGTACATGACAGAACTGGCCTATTGATGTCAATTGTAATAAACATGATTTAAAAAAGGAAGATTTAAATATACCATCTGAATCTCTGATCTCTTTGCCTGATGTGAAATTAAGGAGAGACATGGGAAGACGAAAAGAGAGATAGAGGGAGAGAGAGATGAGAAAGAGGGGGTTAGTGAAGGAGGGAGAGGGAGAGATAAGAAAAATGGACTCACAATTATAAACTTCAAAGGGAGGAAGCAAGAAAAAACAAAAACATAGAGAAGCAGAAAAGGGAGATGCTAAAAAAAATATTTAAAAAATAGTTGAGTGAGAGAGAAGATCAATAAAAGGGGAACTCATCAGAAAATAACAGCCAGTGACAGAGCATAGGGAAAAAGAGAGGGAGCACAAAGGAGATGGAGTGGGGTGAGAGAGAGAGAGAGAGAGATCAGTATTGATAAAGAGAGATATGACGAAGGGTGAGGGGGAAGGGCAAAATAGAGAGAGGTACCTGTAGAAAGGAATGATAGGGGAGTGGGAAAGAACGAGCATAGGGTGATAAAAAGAGAAAAGAAATATTAACGACTACAGAGAGACTGGGAGAAAAGGGAAAGGGGGTTTGAGGAATTGAAGTGAGCGGATCAGAAATACGGGAGATATGCCCGAACAGAAATAAGGAGGAATGGGTATACGTATGAGCTAGAGAGAGAGAGAGAGAGAGAGAGAATAAGGGTGATGGAGAGAGAATGGAAAGATTGAGAGGAAGAGAGAGAGATAATAGTAGTCACCATCAGACTTTACCACAGCTCATCATTATTATTTATTCTTCATCTGTAAATTGTTATCAGCCAATATTATTATATAAACGGGGTTTTGAGCATGCCTGCCCCGAAACTGTGGACTCTATAGTATCCAACAAAATAATGTAAGACAAGATGATAAAGTTAGTAGCATTTTCCTCGTTTCACCCTTCTTCATTTCAAAACTAATTCGAAAGGACATAGTCACTGCTCCTATATGTTGTTTTTCAACAAGTGT